CCGGAGCGCCCGCCTGTGTCCTGCTGGCCCCTAATTACTGAACGGCTGCTGAGCAGACCAGGAGTGACCTGGATTTGGACCCGGGGCCAGTCCCTGCTAGTTCCCTTCCTCCACTCTCTGCCTCCACTACAGGCTCCGGGACTTGGTATCTTTTTCAGGGATTGACCCCTGCAGACCCCTGCAGACCCCTGACCTCCACTCCCTTCCCAGCCCTGGACCCTCTTGTCCTATCTCTCCTGCCAAAGGCAGCTCGGAAAGGGAAGCGATGGACGCCGAGGTGCCTTACTGCGGTGGGATGAAGTGTGTGGGCTGTGGGAATAGAACCCATGGCTGAAGGTCCCTTTGTATGACTTCCTCGGGATAGAATAGGTACCAGACTGTGCTCAGGAGCAGGAATGTCTGAGGAGGTGAAGTTGAATGCTCTCCTGGGAGCTTGGATGCACCCCCAGGAGCTGTGTAGGTGGGGCTGGACCTGTCCTTGGGGATCCCTTCTATACAGAGGGAAGATGGACTTGAAGAGAACAAGCCTGTGGTTGGGGAGGTATGAGGAGAGGGCCATGTCGGGAATTTCTGAAAACCTACCAGAAATGGGGTGATGAGGCGGAGTCAGGTAAGGACAGTGTAACAGCACATTTGGGAGCCTGGAGGTGGATTCTCAAGCAGCTGTGTGCACTAGGCAATTGACTGGAGAGAGCCAGATGGACTCTGCCCTGGATTGGTGAGTGGGAAGCTGGGGTGGCTCAGTGGGCAGAGCAGAGACATGGGCTGTGCCTCATCCTGAACATAGGAGCTGCTGTCTGTCAGGGTCTGAAGGAGGCTGTGTGATCATAAAGAACCAGCTTGCTGGAAATACCTGGGCTGCTGCTTCCCACACTGAGGCTTTTTGCTGGTTGGTTCTATTGTGGAACTGAAAAATCTCATCCACTGTCTCCCTGGAGGATTGGGGGGGGGGGTGTCCCAAAATTACAGGCTACTGAGAAGGGCACGCCTAGCCTGCAGAGGTCAGGAAGCTAAGTTGATCAGGCTAGGGATGCCCTCGGTTAATAGTATGCATGAAGCCCGAGCATCCTGGGCCCCACAGAAACCCAGGCACTCTGGTACACATTGTAACCTCAGCATGCAGGGTGTGTGGAAGGCAGGAGGATCAGAAATTCTAGGTCTTCCTCACCTACATGGAAAATTTGAGACCAGCCTGGGCTACATGAAACCCTGTCTCAAACAACAAGAAAAAGAAATAGTTAAGATCACCTGGCCAGCTGGCTAGAGGGAGCCCCAGAGAGGCACCCGAGGGCCATCCTGGCCCAGCAGAGGCAGTGCCGTGGTAACACGATAGGAGAGAGACAGGGAGGAGACTAGACTGTAGTGAGAGGCTGGACACTGGCATTTGAGAGCTGACCAGAGCCACGAGCATCCTTGTCTCTAGGTGCAATTTCATGATGGGGGCGGGGGGAGTCACCTGGAGGCCTTGCCCCCAGCATCCTCCAGAGAAAGGGGATAGATAAGAAGGCTTGGTGAGCTTCCTCTACATGGAGGCTGGATCTTGAGACTGGTGGTGGCCCGAAGCCAGAGGCTGAGAGCGGAGTCTGGAGCACACAGCCACTGAACTCGCCTCTGTCCTCCTCACTGGCTGGAGGGCAATCTCTGTATAACCACACTGTGCTTTGCAACCTAATTGCTTAGGTACCCAGGTATTTCCTGATAAACACGTGCAGCACTGACCTCAGAGATGTGGGACCTCAAGGCTTCTGCCAACTGTTTCCCAGAGAATCAGCCCTGGGACACACGGACACACACAACCTGTAGCCCTAACTGCCTGTTGGCTTCCGAGCTCAACGAGGCTGAAACATCATTATTCATTAGAACAGTTTGTGCCCTTGTACCTTCAGGGCACCATTCCAGACACTACAGTCACTGTCTCGTTGATCTTATTCAACTGGCCACGTGCTTTCACCTATCACCGCCGAAGGCAGGCAGGGCCTTGCTCGGGCATTATCTCCTTATGGCGGCTGGCCTGGTGTACAATACACAGAGGGAGCCCTGCGAGTGTATGTTAGGGGAATAGGATGCATGTGTATTGGGGAGGGGTGGGGGTGGAAGTAGGGAATGAGTGACTCGTCCAAAGACCCTTAGACAGTGTAACATACGAAGGACTTGAACCCAGGACCTGCACTTACAAGTGCTGCCTGTCTTCTCCGGCACTTAGTCAGGATCCCCTGAAGGATGTTCTGTGCAATGGAGCATC